ATTTTGACCTCAGGGTGACTTTCTTAGGTGGGGTCACCTTCTTCACTAGGGTCAAAGAGCTTGCTTTCTATAGTGAGCTCTTTTAGTTGGATTCTGTCTTTCTTGTTAAGCTGCCTTTGTGGTATCCCTACTTTCAACAAATTTGGAACTTCTGAAGTTTCTCTTGGATCCTACTAGATTTTCTTTCTCTACAAGTAGGTCATCATTATAGTTAACTGGTTGTATTCCTTCCGAAGTGAAAGGATGGTTAAAATGCCAGAATCTGCTGCTTCATGTATAACAGTTCTCCTATTGAGAGTCTGTAGAACTTTATCACCTCACAGCTATGGTTAATGAAGGAGCACAAGGTGGGGAGAGAGGAGAGCAGAGGGCAGCTTTCTTGAAGCAACTTTCAAGTCATTGTCCCTTGTCTCATTTATTTTCCAGGGATATGTGATTAGCAATAGGAAACGACACATGAGCAGCTTTGTATGTGATATTTGATGAGATTTTTGTTAACAAATGATTTCTTTTTTTCTTTTTTGTCCTTTTTAAGGTAAGCTTTGTTTATGGTGGAGTTAATCCTTTAAATCAACATATCCTTAGAGGATATCCTGAAATAAATCAGAGCCAGCGTAGAGCTCGTGACTTAGAGGTTGCTGATAGGAAGCAGAAGATCTTGGAGTCAGGCTGAGAGATCCCTTGAGAGAAACTCTTCATAAGAGAAGTTTGCCAACCCCTGCCCTACATCTATAGTTAGCAGAGTTGGGGGTATCTAGCTAATAAAAAATGTTGAGTGAGGGTATATATAGCAAAAGAGCCAAAAGGGGAGGTGGTAAGAAGAGAGAATGAAGAGGAATATAGAAAAATTTGCATTTTAATGGTGATATAAATTTTATTTATTGAGGTCCAAATTAGAAATGGGGAAAAGAAGGAAGTTAAATTGGCAAAATTTTATCTTTTATTAATTTTCTGTTTAAAAATAACAAAAAATAGTTAAATATTTTTCACTTAAAATATATTAGCTTTTTAATCATTATTATAAAAAAGGCATTAAAATTATATCTACTACACATATTTGAGTTTTTGTTTAATCTATGAAATAAGTTAAAATGTGGCAGGATCAGAATAATAACTCTTTGGAGATGACTGAGAAGTTTCAACAGGGTACAGCAGAACTACATGAGTTGTTTTTTATGACTCTCAGGCAATGTAGTTGATTGTGAAGCTATTTGAGAGATGTTAATAGCTATATATACTTTGTAATATACTTTTAGTGACTGAGATCAGTAATTTTCTTATGTTCTGAAGAAATAATATACTAATAATATTTATTGAATAATTTACTACATTTACAATTCTATACATATCATGCCCCAAATTATACACTACAGAATCTTAGTATAACTTCCATTACAGTGAAGCATTTAAAAAATACTCTAATAGTAGCATTGAGTCTCTCAGAAGTAGATAGTCTATCAGAAGTAGAAGTAGATAGATAATTAATTTGGTTCAATTTATTCAAAACATGATGCTATTAAAGTGCTGCTCAACATGTCAGCAAATTTGGAAAACTCAGCAGTGGCCACAGGACTGGAAAAGGTCAGTTTTCATTCCAATCCCAAAGAAGGGCAGTGCCAAAGAATGCTCAGACTTTTGTGTACCATTGTGTTCATTTCACATGCTAGCAAGTAATGCTAAAAATCCTTCAAGCTAGGCTGTAACAGTACGTGAACCAAGAACTTCCAAATGTACAAGCTGGGTTTAGAAAAGGCAGAGGAACCAGAGATCAAATTGCTAACATTTGTTAGCTCATAGAGAAAGCAAGGAAATTTCAGAAAAACATCTGCTTCATTGACTATGCTAAAGTCTTTGTGTGAATCACAACAAACTGTGGAAAATTCTTAAAGAGATGATAATATCAGACCACCTTCCCTGTCCCCCTAGAGACTTGTATGCAGGTCAAGAAGCAACAGTTAGAACCAGACATAGAACAACAGATTGGCAAAATTGGAAAAGGAGAATGTCAAGGCTGTATATCATCCTCCTGCTTATTTAGCTTATATGCAGAGTACATCATGTGAAATGCCAGGCTGGATGAATCACAAGCTGGAATCAAGGTTGATGGGAGAAATATCAGTAACCTCAGATATGCAAATGATACCACCCTTATGGCAGAAAGTGAAGAGGCGCTAAAGAGCCTCTTGATGAAGGTAAAAGAGGAGAGTGAAAAAGCTGACTTAAAATCCAACATTTAAAAAACTAAGATCATAGTGTCTGGTCCCATAACTTCATGGCAAATAGAAGGGGGAAAAGTGGAAGCAATGACAGATTTTATTTTCTTGGGCTCAAAAATCACTGTGGATGGTGACTGCAGCCATGAAATCAAAAGACACTTGCTCCTTGGAAGAAAAGATATGACAAACCTAGACAGGGTATTAAAAAGCAGAGACATCACTTTGCCAACAAAGTTGGTCAAAGCTATGGCGTTTCCAGTAGTCATGTATAGATGTGAGAGTTGGGCCATATAGATGGCTGAGAGCCAAAGAATTGATGCTTTTGAATTGTGGTGATAGAGAAGACTCTTGAGAGCCCTTGGACAGCAATGAGATCAAACAAGTCTACCTTAAAGGAAATCAACCCTGAATGTTCATTGGAAGGACTGATGCTGAAGCTCCCGTACTTTGACCACCTGATGTGAATACCTGATTTCTTGGACAAGACCCTGATTGTGGGAAATATTGAGGGCAGGAGGAGAAGGAAGTGACAGAGGATGAGGTGGTTAGTTGGCATCACCAACTCAATGGATGTGAGTTTGAGCAGACTCTGGGAGATGGTGAAATATAGGGAAGCCTGGAGAGCTAAGTCCCTGGGATTGCAGTGTTGGACCCAACTTAGTAACTAAACAACAACAGTGAGGAGTTGAACAGAGTCTTAGTTTTACCTTTTGGTCATTACTGAGATTCATTATTGCATACTTACCTGGAAAGTAGATTATTCTAGCCAGAAGTACTTTTCCCCTCCTCTGAACTCCTGTGGGTGTCCATTATAGTAGTTTCCTATTGTTGCTGTAGCATATAACCACACACTTAAAACAACACACAGTTATTATCTTACAGTTCTGAAAGTCAGAACTCCAGAATGGACCTAATGGATTAAAATCAGATGTCAGCAAGGTGGATTCTTTTCTGGAGATTGTAAGGGAGAACTGTTCATTGCTTGTTCCATCTTTTAGAGGCTTCCAACATTCCTTGGCTTGTGGTTGCATCACTCAGTCTTTGCTTCCAGCATCACATCTCCTTTTCAGTCTCTCTTGGCTTTCCTCTTACAATGACCCTGTGATTACATTGCACCTACCCAGGTAATCCAGGATAATCTTCCCATCCCGAGGTCTTTAACTTAATCACATCTGCAAAATCATTTTGCCATGTTAGTTAACATATTCAGGGAACTTGGGGAAGGACATGGACATCCCTAGGGGCCCATTATTCTTCCTACCACATCTTTCTCCTTTTATTTAGAATCATTGGATGTCAGAGCTGAAAGGGACATTGGATGAAAACTTGTCCAATCCCTTTACTTTATACATGAAAAAACTGAATGAAACCAGAAAGCCTGTCTGTCTTTGTCTGCCTCTAAGGCTTTATTAAAAGATTTGAAATAAGGCCTTAGTTTTTTTTTTGTGTGCTTAACTGTACTTTTATCCTAAGTATACAATATTTACTGCCTGAATAATTAAAAGGTTAGTCATAGAAACCAGGTATATCTTATCTGTAACTCAGCTATTTTGAGTTAGTGCTAATGGAAGTTTATAGAAAGCAACTGACTGAAAATACCATGAAGGGTAGGGATTCATTTATCCTTATATTTTAAAATTAAAAGAAAGAAATTATTCCATCTTAAAAATAACTACCTTTTTTAAGATGCCAGTTCTCTGTTTCTTGCCCAACTCTCCTTTTGTCTACTCACCCTCCTTCATAAAAAATGAAAAGAAAGACGAAAGAAACAGAGAGAAGAAAGGAAAGAAGGGAGAGAAGGAAAAGAAGATACAGTGGTGTTCACTTCATAGTTTTTCTAGAGTAACTCATGGAATCAGGATTGAGGTTCTTTGATATTCATTGCTATTGGGCTGGATTACTAAGTATTATCTGTAATAATATCATGTATTATCTGTAATGCACATCTTTCATATGTATTCAACCCAGGGATCGAACCCAGCTCTTCCACATTGCAGGCAGATTCTTTACCAGCTGAGCCACAAGGGAAGCCCATTCAATAACTAAGATAATTTTTAAAAAATCAGGGTTTATCTTTTAAAAGCTATTTCATAACTTCAGGAAAATTTTTTTTAAATTTAGGTTTATTTTTTTAATTATGATTTTTCTTCTCTTGTTAAGGAAGGATAGTTTAGACTCTTTGTTAAAATAAAATGAAAAATTTTTAAAGTTTATCTGGAAAAACATTTTAAACATCTAGATTTTAGGTTTAGATTGTCATTCAGACTAGGTAAATGACTTACTGTTTTCCAAGAAAAAAAGCTTTGTTTGATGCTTATGCAATGACTGATTTTCTTTTGATATTCTTGTAGTTTATATAGAATCTGATTTATTGTTAGGTGAGTTTGGATGTATTAGACATGGTTCTTGAAATAAAATATACCAGAAGCATTATGTTCTAAGCATTTAGAGTCTTTTCTTACTTGTATCAGCATGGTTTTGCATTGGCTCTATACATCTATACATGTCTAAATCTAAACTTGTATGTTATATGAGTTTCATTAAATACTAAGTTGCAAATAATTCTATTTTTATTTTGTCAACTAAGATGGTACATGTAGGTGCTTATTAACAACTGTAAAAACGTGGGCCATGCCAAAAGTACCAAATAACTGGTAATGTTTATTATATTGTCATGTTCTCGGTGAGAAAAATGTTAATTATAAGTCAACTTTAGAATGCATTCATTATAATAAATTATGTTTGTTGGGTGAAAACATAATCTGACTCTTCTTTTCTTGGCAGCAACTTGAATTGGTGGAACCAAGTGGCTGGATTCACGTTCCCTTAACTGATAATCATAAGAAGCCAACTCGCACATTCATGATACAGATTGCTGTTCTCGCCAATCACCAAAATGGAAGAGACACCCACATGAGGCAGATTAAAATATACACGCCAGTGGAGGAGAGCTCCATTGGCAAGTTTCCTAGATGTACAACTATTGATTTCATGATGTACCGCTCAATAAGGTGACCTTAGAGCAAAAGCCATTAAACATCAGTACATATTAAATCTGGTATCTTTACTGAAAAATAAATTAATTATTTTGCAATTTCGTATGCATTGAAAAGTATTTTATTGTAACTTTAATAAATACTTTTTGGGTCATAATATCTTTATTTTCTTTAACATATAATAAGGCTCACATATTTTATAATTATTAAAAATGAACTTAATTTTCCTTATACCAAAAGAAAACCAATTGAACTGCAAAATTTTAAGATATACACAAGTATTTTTACTAACTAGGTAATTATTTCATATAGTGATCATGCATTAGGGTAATGATGGATTGCATATTTGGGAACAAAACTATGTTTTATCAATAGATATTATCTTTACTAAGTCAAAATTATTATTAGTTTTTTGTATCCAGAGGAATGTCTTCTATTAATGCTAGGCCTTTAAAAGACTGTTTTAGTTTGTTTATTCGGTCGGTTCGAGTCTTAGTTGTGGCACACAGGGGCTCCCTCTGTGGCGCACGGGCTTTAGCTGTGGCGTGGGTGTGGTTGTTCCTCAGCACGTGGGGTCCTAGTTCCCCAGCCAGAGGTCGAACCTGTGGACCCCTGCATTGCGCGGCAGAGTCTTAACCAGGGGGCCACCAGAGAGGTCCCAATGTTAGGCCTTTTAGAAAACTGTCAAAATAAGCTTAGCATCCAGTGTCTTATGAGAACCACTCTCATTTGGGGAATGTTATTAATTGTATCGTAATTATTGTACTTTCTTGAAATATTTTTAACCTGAGTTGTCTATATCCTAATATTGTGTCAGATTGCTACTATAATCTACTGTTTATCCTAATTGTAATGCTGCTGATAGGATAGTTAGTTTCAAATTTGTGTCTGACACTGAAGCCCCATTCCTTGAGGGAGGATGCAGCTCACAAAATTTTTAAAAATACATGAAATTATTCTTTACATATAAAAATATTTTAAAGGTGCTTAAATGAATTTCCTTTCCAAGGTTAAACATGAATCCATTTGATTCTGTATGTCTTCCCCAATGCCACTTGCCGCCCCATATCTCTTACTTTGGGGGAGACAGAACTTCCCTGTATTGGCTGATTTTTTTTCTTTCTGTGGCTGTGCTGCATGCTTGTGAGCTCTTAGTTCCCCAACCAGGGCTCAAACCCGGGCCCTCGGCAGTGAAAACATGGAGTCCTGACCACCGGACCACCAGGGAATTCCCAGCCCTCATTGGCCCTTGTTTGGGAAAGATTCCTCAGAGGTTCTTGCATTACTGGGTAGACTGAAGTCTTAAATTAGCAACGTTGAAAAAATAATTATGTGTTTTATTTTATTGTGGCAGATTTGATTTATTGTGGCCACTGATTTATGTGGCTGCTATAAAAAATGAAGGTTTCATTTTTTTCACTCAGCGGAATCTCAGCTCTTTTTCTATGAGTTTCACAAAGAGTTTGTTATTTTCCTTTTCTCCTTAGAGTAAGAAGCCTGGTAGGTGACTATATGGTCAGCAAGAAGTCTGTCACCAAAACTCGTTTGAAATCAGCAAATTAATCCTGAATACAGATGTGGGTTACTGGGAGGGGAAGAAGAGAGAGCTGAAGAAAAACATGGATAGGAATTTTGAAAACAGGAGCAAATCAAGGAAGTAAGAAGAGTAATATATAGTTGGCACTGCATTAGATGTTCTGTGTTAGTCTGATAAGGAAAACATTCATGTAAACAAAAGGCCTTCATCTAAGATAACAGAGAAATCTAATAAAAAGTACAGGAGGTTTTATTAGTAATAATTGTCATTTATCAGATGCAGCCTGTTATTTCCTACTATACTAATAGGTTGTGAAGAAACTCCTAAAATTAGTAGGGATTAAGAAGATTGTTGGGAAAATCAGTACGTTTTCTGCTTCTATTCCCTTTCCCTGTTTTCCAAAAGCCAGCTGGCTGACTGCCTCATTAGGCATAGGAAAACTTGGTAGTGGAGGATTATAGAGGTAATGGTTCCCCTTATTTTAAGGATTATCTGAAGTACAAAAACAATACATAATTACCTGAAGCAGTTTTATTTCCCCTTTGAAAGTGTAAATTATATATCCAATAAAAGATTTGTATCTAGAATATATAAAGAACTCTTATAACTGAATAGGAAGAAAAAAATCCAATTATTTAAGCCAACATTTCACCAATGCTCAACTTCATTGGATGTTAGGGAAATGCAAACTAAAATCTTAATGAGATACCATTTCACAGCCACTAGAATGACTGTGATTAAAAAGACAGTTGCAAGTGTTAGCAAAGGTATGGAGGAACTGGACTTCATGTCAGACTGCTGATAAGGATGTAATTGATATATAAGCACATTGATAAGGAATTTGGTAATTTTTTAAAAAGTTTAACAGATACATATTATATGACCAGTCATTCCACTTACAGGTATTTACCAAAGAGAAAAGAGATTGTATGTCCTTACAAAGACTTGCACGTGAGTGTTCATAGCAGCTTTATTTGTAGTACCTAAAAATTGGAAGCAAAGCAGTTGTTGTTCAACAGGAGAAGCAGTAAATCCATGTAATAGAATACTACTCAGTAATACAAATAAATGAAGTTAATTAATAATGCAACAATGTGAATAAATTTCCAAAATAATTATGCTGAAAGAAGCCACTAAAATGACTGTAGTCTGTATGATTTCATTTTCTAAAAATTCTAGGACGTACTCATCAAGTGATAGAAAGCCTATCAGTGGTTGCATCGGATGGGGTGTAGAGAGAAGTCAGAAGGGATGAATTACTTGAGCGGATGACAGAAATGTTCATTGTCTTGACTGTGGTACTGGTTTCACAGCTATATACATACACCAAAATTTGCCAAGTTACACATTTAAAATGCCTTAAGAAAGCTGATTAAAAAAAATAGCTTATTCAACCTGTTTCACATAGGAATCACCCAAAATGCTAAACTCAACGTAGTTGTATTTCTTACTGTATAGAATCTGAGAATATAAAACTAGCATTGAAAATCCATTTTAACAGTTAATAAAACAATGACAGCAAATTCATGGGTTCATCTGTAATCAGTATACACTTTTGAGTATTGATAAAACTGTGCAGTTGTACGATTTAAATGTTTTCATTTCACATGTAATCAAAGTAATCAAAGTATTGGACACTCTAAAAATCAGTTTATTACCTGAGGAAGTATTGTCACAAGAAGCTCTATAAAACTGTGAAATTATAAAATAGAACAGTTCATTGAAGAGTAGTAAATATCCAACTTATGAAAACACTGACATATATTGAATGTTGAATTAGATGTAATAATAAAACCAAAGTAAATCTGATGCAGACTTTGCTTTCCAGTTGCTTTTAGTCTACTGAGGAAATAATAGGTCTCTGATAACCAGGTCAGAATTTAGAACAGTAAGATCACTCTGTCAAAAAGAGAGTTGACTTCCTGTTCAGGAAGTCAGAGGTAAAGCTAAAGAAGACACTGTGAAGGAAGTGGAATTTTGGAAATAAAGACTATTTGCAATATCAGTTACTCGCTCACTTTTCAAGCTTATTCTTGAATCCAAACTATCGTTGTTTTTACATGAATAACAGTGATTAATTGGAAACAGATGATTTGTTTGTAAGGAATCCAGTGATATTTTGTACATTTGAAGGCTTCCAATGATTAAAACACAGACCAGTCTTGAAAAGTAATTTTTGACACCATGCCTCTGTCCTTTTTGTTATTATGACTACTAGTTACAGTACAAATTTTTATGAGTATAAAGTTTTGACTCAAATACAGATATTTGATGTGTTTCTAGTGTTAGAAAATTTTGCTTTAAATTCTTAATGTCTTATTATATGTCATTTTTAATTGACTTCTTGGTTATTAGCTTGTTTCATCAATTACGTTTTAAAATGATGAGTTGCAGAATATGTTAAAGCATTAGGGAAAATAATACTTTGCAGTTGTGGTTATTTGGAGACACTTTTGTTTTGTGGATCTTTTAAACCAAGATTACCTTGTTTTGCCCACGTTGTTTTGGCTTTCCCCACTTCTGCTGACTCCCTGGGGTATGGTATTTGGAAGTGTTCGCTGTACAAGGCTGTTTACCAGCCATCTACAAGGAGGCTCTCTGTGCTTCATGATCTGCCATTTAGTTGAGCCTGCTTCTGTGCAGTGGTGTCTAGAAAGCATTAGAGAGAAGACAACAAAAAAGCCTCAGGGATTACTTTATTAATTATCCATAATAATGACTTATTCTATTAACAGGACATACCTAAAGGCTAATTAATTAAGACTCCCCCCACTATAAATGTCTATAATCCATGGCAATATTATATGAAAAGTTGAAATTATTTTTAGTACCCAGTTATTTATTATATAGTAGTAAATATAATACTAATTATATTTTAGTACCCAGTTATTTATTAATTATTTTTTAGTAACCAGTCTATATTATAGTTTTATATGTAAGTACCTTCCCTTTTTCTATGGCTAATCCTACGATGATTATTTATTTTGTCTTGTACTTTCTGGTTAAAAAAACCAATTTACTATTTTGCCAACATAAGCAAAATTACAGCAACTTAACGGTAGTCTACATGCTTATGAAATCTTTTTCTGAGTGAATTAGTATTTTGGGAAGTGATATTTCACATCATGTATCATTGAAGCTCTAGTATTTATCATCTCAGTTGTTTTAATTATTGCACTTGTGGCTGTAAACTTTCCACTGATGGAGTTCAGTGATCATTGTAAGATGTTTTTCCACTGTGCATTTACTTTTCCAATGTTGAGAGCAAATTATGATTCTCTCCCTGTGGTCCTAGAAGTAACTCCCCCAACTGTCTTTATAGACTTTATTCTGAGACTGGCTCTCCTCTTTACCCTGGCATTCATCTATAGCTAGAGATCCAGATTTTAACAGATCATTTCCTGTTATTACAACAGCAGGATCAAAACACTGATCGCTTACCAAGAAGCAAAGTATTCAAAGGCTGAAGTAGAGAGTTCAAC